TTTGGGAGGCCGAGGCAGGAGGATCACAAGGTCAGGAGATCCAGACCATCCTGGCTAACATGATGAAACCCCATCTCTACTAAAATACAAAAGATTAGCTGGGCATGGTGGTGCGCGCCTGTAGTCCCAGCTACTCAGGAAGGTGAAGCAGGGGAATTGCTTGAACCCAGGAGGCGGTGGTTGCAGTGAGCGAGGTTGTGCCACCACACTCCAGCCTGGCAACAGAGCAAGACTCCGTCTCAAAAACAAACAAACAAACAAAACACAATTGTTAAGATGTTTAAGGGATAAGCAGTGATTTGGAAAATCTCAGGGAACTAAACAGACAAAAACTGGAGTTCAGAGCCTGAAATGGAGAAAGAATCCTGGACAACATGCCAGGTTTTAAGTAGAGATCCCTGAATGACTATTTTCTAGGTTCAAGGGTGTAACCGTAATATAGCATGCCTCATAGAGTCTTAAACTCAGCCTCTAGCCATCTCCAGGCCTGATCAAAAGTAATGACATCTGTCTCTAGTTAACTGCTGGCAAGACCGGTGCAGTGGCTCACGCCACCCAACACTTTAAGAGGCCAAGGGAGGAGGACTGCTTGAGCCCAGGAGTTTGAGACCAGCTGAGCAACAAAGTGAGACTCCTTCTCTACAACAAATTGTAAAATTAGCCAGGTGTGGTGGTGCACATCTGTGGTCCAAGCTGCACAAGAGGCTGAAGCAGGAGGATTGCTTGAGCCCAGAAGGTCAAGGCTGTAGTAAACCATGTTCATACTACTGCACTCCAGCCTGGGCAACAAAGCAAGACCCTGTCTCCAAAAAATACAAGAATCAAAAAATATATATTGTAAAACAAACTTATAAGACACGGTTTAGGAAAAAAAGGGAGGCCAACATATGTCTAAATGAGAAGAAATAGAATGGTCAAAATAATATTTGAAGAGATAGTTTCTGAGAATTTTCCAGAATTGATGAAAGACCTTGAACTACAGATTCAAAGATCTCTAAAAACTTCAACTAGAATAAATACAAAGAAAATTATATCCGGACATTTCATAGTAAAATGGTTTAGAATTAAGAAGAAAGAAAAAAATCTTAAAAGTGATTGAAATAGGAGAGATGCATAATTTTAAAGGAGTAACAATAAAACTGATAGCTGGTTGGGCACGGTGGCTCATGCCTATAATCCCAGCACTTTGGGAGGCCGAGGTGGGGCGGATCACCTGAAGTCAGGAGTTCGAGACCAGCCTGGCCAACATGGTGAAACCCTATCTCTACTAAAAATACAAAAATTAGCCAAGCGTGGTGGCACACGCCTGTAGTCCCAGCTACTTGGGAGACTAAGGCAGGAGAATCACTAGAACCCGGGAGGTGGAGGTTGCAGTGAGCCACGATTGCGCCCCTACATCCTGAACAACAGAGTGAGACTCTGTCTCAAGAAAAAATAAAAATAAATAAAAAATAAAACTGATAGCTGACCCTTTAATAGAAAACATGAAAGCCATTAAACAGTGGAATAAAATCTTCAAAGGGCTGAAAGAGAGTGACAACCAACCTAGAAATCTATATCCAGGCAGGGCACGGTGACTCACGCCTGTAATCCCAGAAATTTGGGAGGCCAAGGTGGGCGGATCACTTGAGGTCAGGAGTTTGAGACCAGTCTGGCCAACATGGTGAAACCCTGTCTCTACTAAAAATACAAAAATTAGCTGGGTGTGGTGGCAGGCACCTGTGGTTCCAGCTACTCAGCAGGCTGAGGAAGGAGAGTTGCTTGAACCTGGGAGGTGGAGGTTGCAGTGCACCAAGATCGCACCACTGTACTCCAGCCTGGGCAACAGAGCAAAACCATGTCTCAAAAAAAAATAAGAAAAGAAAAAAAATCTATATTCAGTT